TATGCTGGGATGTCGAGGACCTTTATGTATTCCCTCGCTTTCTTCCCTAAGTATTCCGTGGACTCCAGGGAAGTGGCGATCTGCTTGTAGAGGGACGAGTCGGACAAGCTCTTGGAGAACACTTGCATCTGCGACGACTCCATCTCGGTAAGATCATCGAGTGGACTGCTCAACGTGTCTGTGTCCTGAGACATCGAGGAGAGTGTGCGGGGAGGTTTCATCCAGGTTTGTCAATATTGTCTCTCCTAGGCAGACGTTTATATGATAGGGTTCGTTGGCAGACAGGAGACTCGAGTGTCCGAGTCCATGACCACTGAAGTATCAGGAACTCACCAACAACGCCGTGGAATCTCTCCTTCATGGCCGACTAGCTCAGTTGGTTAGAGCGTGGTGCTAATAACGCCAAGGTCGTCGGTTCGATCCCGGCGTTGGCCAGTATATTGTCCTCCATTCTTTTTGCCGGCCGATTGGGCGCAGGCACACCTACATACATAACCACGCTGACTTGAGCTCGAAAATGTACCACCCATTTACATAGCAGTGCACAGGCGAGGCTACGTTGTAACATAAGCTCGTGTGATGATGCAGCATCAGAAGCTCTTCATATACCCATTCCATTGACAACAGACGACTACGCGACCAGAAACGCAACAAGAACAGTAAGGATACAGTGGTGGGGGATGCCAAGAACACGACGAGCCAGGTAATACATTGAGGGGTATGCAAGATGGTACGAGAACGGGGATGATGTGGCGGAACCCGGGCGACAGATGCATGCGAGAGGAGACAATAGCAGGAAGTAAGTAGCTGCGCTGTAAAGATTAGACGAACATATTGAGTCCGGACGGCGAACGAACACCGGGAGAGGAGAGGGGTAGAGGTCTGAGGCAAGCGATAACGGTGAAGAATGTGAAAGCTGGTAAGGTAGTGTGTGTATGTTTTCAAAGAGGAGAGAGATGATGCGGAGACAGCGCACAGCGCTCTACGCCTTCTCGACGACCTTGTTCATGGCCATGAGGACGACCTCCCACGCGAGATCCATGACTCCCCAGAGCTCCGCGTCGAACACGCCGAGGGCACAGACGTTCTGCCAGAGGCCGTTGATGACCTTGACGTGCGACATGAGCCCGCTCAGCGCGTTCTGCGCGCCCCCGCGCTGGAACGCGGCGCCGGCGAGCGCGTGTGCGAGGCGCATGAGGTGCTCGGAGCTGAACTGCCCGACGTAGTGCAGCTTGTTCGGGCCGCCGCTCGAGCCGGCGCTGGAGAGCTGCGGGAAGGACTGGGCGAGCGATGGGAGGAGCGAGGCGAGGAGCGTGTCGGGGCGCATGGTGTGCAGGTAGGCGTGCAGGAGTGCGTAGGTCTCGGGGCTCGGGACTGTGAGCGGGACGATGGGGAGTGTGAGGGCTGCGCGGCGGCCTGCGCTGCGGGGGGCCTGCGGGAGTGGTGGGAGCAGGGAGCAGTGCACGGCCATGACGAGTGCGGATGCGGGATAGAGAGGCACGGTCGTGGACGGTGGCAGGGAATGCCTGTCGGCGAACGACGCCACGGTTGGCGTCTTGGCGGACATACGGGAGGACAGGATCGCAAACACATGGGTGGGGAAGCTGGACATGTCCGGTGCTTGGGAGGTCGGGCGGACGGGCGCGTCGATGGACTGGGGCAAGTGGGCATATGGCAGCGCACTTGGGATCGTCAGAAGCGACAGTGCGCTGAGCATCCTGCATTGCGGTGTTAGTGAGGTGCACACACTTCGAGCACAGTCGGACACGTACTGCTGACAGTTGCTGTCGACGAGACGGCGGATGTATTCGAGCGGCACGCCCGCGAGGCCGGGGTCGAGACGCGCAATGGCGTCACGCGAGGGCTCGTTGAAGCTGGGACGCGCCAGACGACGCGGGATGTTCAGCTTCTGCTCTAGAGGGTGGACGTAGTGGGCCCCGGAGAGGTTGAGGGCCTCGGGGATGGCAGAGTGACGCGACGCGACCTGGAACATGGCGAGACAGCAGGAGAAACAGAAAATGCAAACTGGGGACGAGAGCACGGGCGCGAACGCGAGGAGTATTATAGGCGGCAGACACTAGGACCGGTATAGTCGGACTGTCCGGGTGGACAATAGGGTAGGTGTGCGGGCGCGAGGTGATCGACACGGGGTGCGCGCGAGGCGGCGGGGCGAGGAATGGAGGCGCGTTGCGATAGACGACGCGGCGGTGTTGTTCTGGGAGCTCATCGCGACGCGTTCCCGTACTTATACTTTGTGAATTGTAGTGTCTGCCCGGACGAGAATAAGGCTTGACTCGCGCAGGGATTCTGCACATGGCGGAGGGGAATAAGAGGACGCACAAAACGGGCAGCTCGTTTGTGGTGCTTCCGGCTGCTCCCACACGTGGCGCGGCGGCGCTTCCCCGGAAAGGGTATGTTTGTCGACTGCACCCTCTCTGGGATCTTGACTCAGACCCAACTCTACGCTCGATCGCCGTCCGTCAGTCAATGAGAACATGCGAGAGCCTGCGACGACTTGACGGGCCTTCTCTGTAGCCATCACGACTACCGCCCCTTGTATTCCTTCCCCGTCGAACCAAAGCCCGCCCCGAGAGCCTGCACGCCAGTCCGCTGGGCTCCCCTCCAAGCATCACATATCGTCACACTAGCCACAGAAATCTGCGTCCTTGTCCTCAGAACACGCCGCGGCGTAAACTTCACGTACAGTCCTCCGTCGACAACGCTCGTCCCACACGCGCGCGTACACTCGCCTCAGGCTAGTCCTTCTGATGTGCTCCGCTGCCCGCTGCATGTCCGCGACACGTTTGATGGTAGCGGGGCAGTCTTGTCTCTTCTATTCTACCAGCCGCAGGTGTGCTATAGGAGGTAAGTTGTGTTGCGGTAGCCCGAGTTTCTGACTAGGACACCACCACATGGGCGGCGCCGACAGACGACCGACTATCAGCTCCAGAGGATGCTTATTCGGGAAAGTAGGCCACTATTGAATGAAATACGAAATCCTTCGACATACAGGTCGGGAAATTGCCTCCTTGGACGTACACCGTGGGTACGCATCAGCTCCTTGTATTTGGGTGCCAGACGGATATTCACCAAGATGGCAAGTAGCAGACCTGAGTTCCCAAGGGTCATCTCGTACTCGCTGATAGCTCTCAGTTCCACCCTTCCCTTCATGTGCTACTACCCTGCAACCGCAGTGAGCTGCATCATACCCGGCACTGACTCACAAGTACATACTGCGGCCGCCTCAGCCCTTGCTACTCGCCGAGACACAAAAGCGTACCGCCCCTCCATCCCAGGCCTGGATCTAGGACGTTTCCGACGTCAGCAGTGCTGCTCTGTGCTGCTCAACAGAAATCCTTGCATTCTCGCCCTTGCACAGCTATGCCGCATCCGGCATGGTCCCCGTCTCCGCCACACACTGCAGAGTGAGCAGTCTCCGAGGTATCATCCACATCTGCCGCCGACGTTTCATGCTGGGCGGCAGAACCGTACCTGAGGCACGTACTAATATATTGTGCACGTTTCTTCATTACGGACTTATCCGTCCCTGTGGTTTGCGCCAGGCTCCAGCCTGTCCCGGTGCGAGCACCATAGCTCCATGCATCGGGGTTACTGTTCGCGTTGGCCACCTCGCTTGCGCATCGCGGGGTTAGGTTGTGTATCGATGGCTTCCTCTATGATGCGCTCAAGCTCAGGCCTTCAGGTTCGACTGCTTGGCCCGTCCCGAGCTCCGGAGAAGCAACAAGAACGCGGGGCGGATCCAGGCAGGAACACGCGTCTCAGCGGCTCAGGTTGGCTCTGGGACGGCCTCAGGTTGGAGTGGCCCGCTGTTGGCGCGCGCTCGCGCTCCGCTGGTGGAACGAAGGGCTGCTGCGTGCAGAGGAGCAGGGACGGGAGACAGAGGTGAGCTTCTAGCGTCGCTCGTGCAGGGATGATGTCTCCCGAGGTCTCTCACGACATGGCTCCGTTTTACGGTCAGGATGCCTCCCTGCCACATCAACAGCGCGGCCTCTATGTTATTGTTTGCTCACTCTAGTAGATGGCCGTTCGTGGAACTCACTGTTGTTCGTCTCTTCGACGGCTTGAGATCAATCTATGCGAGAAGCCGGTCAGTCTCTGCCGCTGACCGACCACTCCCTATGGCCAGGCTCTTCCACCCGGACACGAAGCCAACAACATCGAGTCTTGCCACGATGATCCAGGCGGAACCGCCAACACCCGTCCGTCACCGAGCTCGCCGCCCGCGCGACCGCACCTGTTACATGCCCTCTCCAAGGTACGTTCCGCTGATCTGTTCAAAATCCATCCATCCGCCAACAGCGCTGATGCCAGCCTTATAGCTCGTCCGCCGACCGCCACTGAGTGTATCGTGCCAGCAGGCATCCTCGGGAATCACACTGGCAGGTCTGCTCTAGTCCGTCCTTGAGACCTGTTCGGCTCGCTTGGAGGTGCACACATACACCCACAACGGAGTCCGTGCTCGTTCGCCGCGACGCGGCCTCGTTGGGCTGGATGTATGGGCAGTACGTGTACACCTCTCCGTGATCCTCATAATGCTTCGACCGCTGATTGCATGCCGTGACATGACGCGTGGGGCGAGGGACGCTGCGTGCTGGGTCCTGGGTCGCGTAGGGCACGGATGAGTCTTGGTACGTCTTGTATTTCCATTGAGTTCATGTGCCTCCAATTTGCTGGCTATTTTATGCACTGATTGCTCTGGCTAGGTACCCGCTGAGCATGGATGCGAGCAGCTTAACGGTGCCCGCCCGCCACATGCCATCTTGCAAAACGCGGTCACGTGCGGAATGCGGTAGACGATCCTCGATCGTGTCGACACGTTCACGAGCTTCGATGACGTATCGGACGCTTTTGCGGGACAGCATCGACGAGCCGCGTTCATGCTCTCATCCTTGAGGTGACTGCTCTTCTTGCAGCCGCAACATTACTGGGGACGCTACCACCTTCGACATCCCGTCTTTCGACGCCTCCGTCACACCGGATCCTTCCCTCTCAAACGACTCGGCGGCCGTCCCACTCTTGTCGCGCGATTCATTCGCTGCGTCACCAATCACGCCCCGACAGGTCAATACCGCGATCGCTTCCGCGCTCGACACGGAGAACCAACTCTCTGTAAGTATTCTGCACTCCGGCCCACCCGCGTACCAAACCCGCGAGCACATCTTGTTCCGCTGCGATTACTATACACGCAAGTTCGAGTATTCGTCGATCGAGGAACTCCTGCAGTCCTTGGACCCCTTCTATGATATTCAGGCCTTCCTCCGGGACAATCCGACGCATTCTCCTTCGAGGATGCCCCGGATTAGGCCTAGGAGGACCCCCCTGTTCCCTCCGTTATGCGCCCTCACGCGCGCATACTCGTCACCCGTATCAGACGCGTCCGATTGGCTTTATACGAGCCGGAATACTCTACGCCTGTTCGCAAGGGTCAGTCAAAAACCCCGCATTCCTTGCAGACGGCTGTCGTAGAACTGCGCATTTGAGTGTAAAAAGACTGCTCTTCTCGCGATAGACAGGATGTACTTGCCCAAGGACACGCGATAGTCCCCGCTCTACGCTGTGGAGTGAGTTCAGGCTACTGGGAGCATCCACCCGAGTACAACACTCATGGCGTCGCTTCACGGTCTTCGACGCCGACCACCGTATTGTTCGTCCACATCGGACACAGCTTGCTCAGGCTGCACGTCAACGACCAGGCACATTATGAAGTGGTGGATCAGACGACGTTGTGCGTCTCCGTTGCTTATATTAGACTTAAGTCACTTCAGCAGGCCTCAGGCGACGGATTAAGGTCCGTAGATATCTTCTATTGTAAAACATCTCGGTCACTATATCGGGAAAGCAAACTTGCCATACATAGGAATTTTGTGTGTTCACCATCCGCTCAGTTGTTTTCTTCGCAGTAAACTTGTAAGTAGATTGTACACTCACTGTAGAGCGTGTCATCGAAGTCACCTATGGTTAGTTTGACAATGAGCAGAATAGACAGCCCTGCCAATGTGGTCTGAGTGAGCGTCTGGCACACTCAGATTGGCAGCCCGCAATTCGGTTCGAGGTCCGATCAATCGGCGTTTCGTAGAGCCCTATCGGAACTTAGAAAACACATTACGTCATCTGCACGTCGGGCGCAGCGCGACGCGACGCGTCCTCTTAACCAAAACCAAACGCCACCGCGACTGCGATGTTCTCGCCCAATGGCGGCGCGATTAGGAACGCGTAATACATGTTTTCCGATGCCGCCGTCTGTTCCGACGCTTTGAATGATGCAAAGGGCCTGCCACCGGGCAAGGAGCGTGCGAGCACGGACACAGACACGGAGTAGTTACTATAGTTGAATAGCGCAATGTTCAACTGTACTCACAGTAATTGGTTCATCTCTCTATACTTCTCATGTCAAGCACATTCAGGTACACTCGCCAGACAGCATGGCGGACGAGGGCGGGCACCAGCCCGCCCGAGTGCGCTGCTGTCCTTCATTTCCCGTGGCAGGGGCACGGGAACCTGCTAGTATCAAGTATTACTCAAAGCTCATCGGCGGCGATCAGCACGGCCTGATAGACTACTGGCGTGGATGTCAATAGATGTCGATGTGTGGGCATTTAGGTCATCATGATGCCTTGCCCAAGAAACGTGCTACTGACGGCGCATATGTGGCATCAAATAAGTCTGGTGTACAAAAACAACGCTGTACCAGAGAGTGTCCCATTGGCCAACGCCGGGATCGAACCGACGACCTTGGCGTTATTAGCACCACGCTCTAACCAACTGAGCTAGTCGGCCATGACAACGAACAGTAATGAGTACTTATATCACGGTCGCGTATAGCCATAAGGCTGCAGCGCGGTCACGAGTTCGACGCGTCCACGCGCGCTTGGGGGAAGTTGAACTTGCCTCCTGCCGCCATCGACGTCCCCGACGTTCTCGACGTTCTCGACGTTCTCGACGCTCTTGACGACACCACACGCGCCATGGACGCCAGCGACGTTGGCCGGCTAGGATCTCTGTCTCTTCTGCGTTCGACAGACTCCGTCGTGACCTCATACCCCATCGACGACGACGAACTGACTATTGGACGCGACCAGTCTTGTTCTCTCCGTCTCTACTACCCTGCCGTCTCCGGACTTCATGCAAAGATAACTTTTGTTGAGCGGAAGGCTTTTCTCGTCGTTCTCGGAACAAACGGAGTCTTGCTGGACGACTCCCCGCTCTTCCCTGCGACAGCCACCGCGCCTGGGCCGACCACTGTGCCTCTTCAGAATAACTCCGTCATCGAAATACACAAGAAGCGGTTCCGCTTTACCTACCCGCCAAAGCACCTACGCCCTGCCATGATCAATACCCCCACGCAGAACACGCCTGTCGCAGCTCGTCGGCCGCTGCGCCTCTCGATGATTGCGAGTGCGCAAGTCTTCACACCACGTCCGAGCCACGACCCAGGCGAGAACCTCCGAATCTTGCAAACCCCCATCCGCTCTTCGTTTGCGCGCGAGAACGAGGAGATTGTTCTCGTGCACAGCAACACTCCCCGCGTCGTCGAGGAGGACAAGGACCTCGTCATCCTCGACGAGGTAGAGCCCGAACCCGTGCTTCCCCTCCCCTTGCCAGTCATGCCGCAGTATCCGGTCACCCCCGTCAGACGTCGGCCGCGTGCGTCTCTGCACCGTGCTGTCCTCATCCGCTCTGCCCAGCGGGTAGCGCTGCAACGCGACATTCAGCTCGAAGAGGAAGAACTGGATGCAGAGGAGGTTGAAGAAACTATCGGTGCAATTGCAGAGGAAGCCGACGAGGACGTGCAGGAGATCCCGCCCCCGGCCGGACGGCCAGTGTCGGGCTGGCGGAAGAGCTTGGATTTGGTGAGGGGCAGCCTCGGCTGGGCGTTTACCGGCCTATCAGTTGAGGTGTGTTCACTCGTGCTCTGGTTCCTGCGGTGTACTGATGTCTAGCAGCCCAAGGAGGAAGAGGAGGAGCCAGTGCTTGGAGATGAAGATGCCGACGAGTACAATGAAGAAGAGGGAGAGGAGGGAGAGGGAGAGGAGATGGAACTGGACGAAAACCAGCAGTACGAACAGGATGAACACCGCGATTATGAAGGTGCAGAGGAGGAAGAGGAGGAGGGCTCGCACGAGACCGAAGAGCAGCGGCCTCTTGGCCGGTTTATGAGTCCGCAGATACCCCGGAGCACACGCCAGCCTCGCCTCTCTCTCGGCGTCGGAGTGATACCAGACGACGGCCCCCGCCGTGTGCGCGTAGTCGCGCCTTGGAAGGTCAACGAGATCGAAGTGCCTGCTCCCGTCAAGGAGGAAGACAGCAGTGCCCTATCGAGATCTTCCCTTGCACCACCCTCGACGCCGCGGTCGCCCGTGAAGAGAGAAAAGCTCACGGAAGAGGAGCGCGAGGTGAGTGTCCTCGCTCGCATCTGGCGGCCCACGTTGACATGCTTCGAAAGGCTATCCGCGCACGCAGACGATCCGCGGTCGCAACGCCCGACAACTTCTTCAAGGGCCAGACCCCGGGCTCCCGACGCACGCTCTTCCCGTCCCTCGCCTCTGTGCCCGCTCCGAATTTCTCGCAGCAGGGCGAATCCTCCTCGGCGGCCTCCCAAGGTTCGACGCAGGAGGCGTCGTCTTCGTCTTCGACGTCCGCAGCGAAGTTAGAGGAGGAGGAGGATACAGCTGTTCTTCTTGCCCGCATGCAGCAGATGGTAGAGGGCGTCAAGCAGCGCCAGAGTCTCGGCAGGCAGAGTCTCAGCCTCAGCCCGCGGAAGCGGGAGGGTGGATTCTCTCTTCTTGCGCCCCACCATGCGAGCACCCACAGGCCCTCACGTATCCTGATCGAAGAGGACGAGGAGATGCAAGACGAAGACGAGGAGTCCGACTTGCCCACCCGGCCAGCCTCGAATACCCCACGCATGACAGACCTGCGGCACGTCTTCAGTCGTCCGCAGGGCAGCGCTGGAACCCCGATTCTCACCGGCATTCGGGAGATGTTCCGACCGCAAGCGCAGGCCCCGACAGAGACTCCTCGCTTGGACGGCGTCCAGGAGATGCTCAGGACTCCCGCAGGGTACCGCGCACGGCCTGTCGAGGAGCCCGTGCCGGTCGACGACGACAAAGATGAGGACGAACCCGTCGAGGAGCTTCCCCCAGCCAATGCACGCGGCAAGAGGACTCCCGCCGCTCGGGCTCGCCGCACACCGGTGCCCCAGTCTGCTCCCTCGAAGAGCACCCGTGCATCCTCGCAAGTCCCTGACGATGCTGCGGAGGCGGAAGTCGGGCAGGAGAATCGCACTGCTCGCAGGACGAGAGCGCGTACGGCGGACGGTGCTGTCACTCAGGTATGCAGGGTCATTGAACCAATCACTCTATGTGGCGCTAAACACATTAAACAGATCCCCAGGGCTACTCGAGGGAAGGCCACGAAGGCTACCACTGCGGAGGAGCCGAAGGATGACGACGAGGAAGCGGAGGCTGCCCCTGCTCCTGCTCCTGCCCGGGCCACGCGGCGTACACGGCAAGCAACAGATTCGTCAACGACGTCCTCTCATCCCGACGAATCCGCCTCTAACGAGACCAAGTCTGCTCGTAAGACCCGAGCCAAGACACCCACTCCAGCGGCCGGAGCGTCCAAGACCACAGTGCGTCGCGGGACGCGTGCAAAGCCGATCGATGTGGCCGAAGACGAGAGCGACGATGACCCGCTCGATTCCCTCTCGCACGACGCTCCAGCCGCACGTCCGCGTCGCGGCGGGCGCAGCAAGGCCCCCGTGAAGCAGGAGGAGGCCGAGGAGACCGTTCCTGCTGACGATAACGAGTCTGCGCCTGTGCGTGCCACCCGTGCCAGACGCACTCCCGTACCCAGGAGCACCCCGACGCCGGCCGCTCGGGGCGCTGCTCGTACGCGGGCTGCTGCGTCGGGTTCGAATGCTGAGCCTGCAATTCCCGAGGACAAGGAGAACACCCCGGAACCGAGTGCTGACGAGGAGGGTGAGGAGCCGAAGGCAGCGGGTACCAAGGGCCGGGGTAAGGGCTCGCGGAGTGCAGGGAAGGGTGCGGGGAAGAGTACGAACAGTACGGCGGATGTGGGTGAGGAGTCCGGTGCGCCTGCTCCGGCTGCGACGAAGACTCGCGCTGGCCGGACGAGGGCGACGAAGGCCTGATTTACGACTTGTGATGTGCATATGCTCATTGGGTACTTATTAGCGTGTATCATCTGTGCAAACCGTCTATTGCTTGTACTTATACTGCAACTACTGGTGGTCCTTGAGGACGGTATTCATGGTCCGGGTGATAGGACTATGTGTGTTGCAGTGAATGTACAGGCATTAAAGGCATTAATGGGGTAGTGGTAACCTGGGTCGTTGCCATCGACCCGCCGGGGGTTCGATTCCCCCTTAATGCATCATGCGGCCATTTGAATTTTGATGCCTGTGCCGTGTGCGATCGTGCGCTGTTCTCCATCCTTATTTTGCCTCTCGACTTCCAAGTGACTTGCCGTCCATGTCATGCAGAGATGTGTTGAGCTCAGCCAGC